GAGCTCATTCAAGAGGTATTTCAGTTAATCTTTTTCTCCTTTTTTATTTATTTCTTCTCTATAATAAATATTGTTATAATAAAAATAATCATGTAGACATTTTAGGGTTAATTGTATAATTTAAATTTCAAGCATGTAAATAATTATTAATAAAAAGGGGATTTAATATTTTTATTATTATAATTTATAATGCTAACTTCATCATAGGGTACCAATTAAGGGCGTTGTAGGGGTGCTTAATACCTTCCCTACACGTAACCGACCCCCGAACCCAATTCTGGTTATCAAGGCCATTATTGAATTTTTAAAAACCTTTTCTTTTCCAATGTTTTGAGTAAAACATTGGTGGCGACTCCATGAACTCATTTTTCAAAATCATTAATTAAGGATTAGTCTGGTGTCCGGGCATTCCTTAATTGATGAGACTTTTAAAAGGATGTCTAAACCATTAGTCGCGAGATCGGAAAAATTCGGGTTGCGACACTAAGTCAGAAACTGGATGTAGGTCCATGTATGGCTGAACTAGTATAGATCATTGTGTAATTCTCTCTTAACCTTTATCTCTTGATATAATTTTGTTATAATCTTGTGATACTTGTAAAAAATAATTTCAAGAAAACGTTTCTTGACATGCTATCAATTGTTATTCATAATAAGATCATCACATATGCAATTTGGTATAATAAAAGAAAGAATGTAATTTCTAAAATCAATTTGGATTGTAAGAATTTAATCCCCTACGTGCTATATTTGATATTTTGTAATGATTTGTAATCTAAATTTGATTAATTAAAATTGGGATAAGAAAGAAGAGAATAAGAAAAATTCTTAAAGACCATACGATGCCATCTAAGTGAAGAATCTATTCAACCTCCCTTCTAGATTAATGTTCTATCGGGACCAACATCATCCTCATCATCCTCAAGCTCCTGATCCTTGTTAATGATATCTATACTAAATTTTATACCATTCAAATCATCCCATAAACTTCTAGCACTACATAAGAATGTCTTAGTTTTGGCATTTTTCTTGAATAGCCATAGAACCATTGAAGATAGTAAAAAGTGATTATAATGGGAAAATGGTTTGGAGCATGTAATGGTAATGCAAGAAGGAAAAGATGAAAAAGGGTGTAAGACAATCATGGATTGTATATAAATTTACAAGGGAAAAGTATATTTTTGTTTGTCAATTTAAAGGTAAGTTTGGCTTTCAATCCCTATTAACCTACAACATAATGTTACCAGAAATTGTGGAGAAAAGACACACACTAGAAGGGGGAATTAAATAGTGTGTATCAAAAAATCACACGTTTGTGTAGTCAAAATAAAATAACTTATCAGATGAAGCATTGAAAAAGAGTCAGATGAATCACAAGATATTTTTATATTGGTTCTTCTCAACCATCGAGACTACATCTAGTTCTCAATCCAAATAGATTGAATTTCACTAACTTTCACAAAGTTACAAGTATTCTTTTACCAAGTCACGTCTGACTCTTCTAAGTAGCCTTTGACTTACCTCTTTAAGCAACTACCTAAGTATTCAATGAACAACAAACCTCTCTAGTTAACACCAAGTATTCTTTCAACCAAGTCTCTTCAAGCTCAAACATCAAGTATTCTTTCAACCAAGCTTGTCAGGCTCAACACTAAGTATTTTTTCACACAAGCCTCTCTAGGCTCAAAATTAAGTATTCTTTCACACAAGCCTTTCCAAGCTTAACCCTTTCAACAAAGGTAATGGATGATTATAGAATTTTTTCATCTCTTCTAAACATGATGTAATCAACAATGATAGCACAAGTAATCTACAAAGAAATATGTACAAGATTTACAATAAAAATGTTTCTTTTTAGTTTTTCTACTCTGTGTGTTTTTGTATGTTTCTCTATACAGATTTATAGACATGTATTACTTCTATCTCTTCCATTCTATATGTGTCACTTCTTCTTTTTGTTGTTTGAAGACTTGATCCTTTTATAGTAGCTATTTCAAAGAAGATGATTATTGTGGCAATTTTGAATTGAACTCACAATTTGCTTCATGAGTTGCTTCGTCTATCTTCTTTGTTGATCCTAGAAATTACCGTTGATACATCTAATGCAAGCATTAAATGCCTTTCAGCAAAGAGTGTATCTCTCATCTGATCTAGTAGGCTAATTATCATCATTTTCTTCTAAAATAAGTATGGTAGAAGTAGTGTCAGTGCAGTGCAGAGTAGTTGAAATCAACATAGAATAGTCTTTTGTAAAGCCTTTTCCATGATATTTGAGATTTTTCTTTTTGCTTCTGACGAATATTTTGTCTTTTCCTTCTTTAACAAATTTCGAGAGTTCCAAAATTTCTTTCTTTTTTGATCTGTTAAGGAATAAAATATTTAATAAAATTTAATGTTAGTCTCATTTGAAAGTTTACTACATAGAGACAGAATGTATGTTTCGTTTGATTTTCTTCAACTTATAAATGATATATATTTTCTGCATTTCGTCTAATATATCTTTATAGATATTTAACTTTGCTTAAAAAAAATCTTTCGTTTGCTATCATTAAAATTTGAGAAATCCAAGATCGATTTTTAACTTAACAAAAATGAATATATAACACAAATTGCAAGTACTCCTAATTTCCCAAGCTTAATATAACCACCAATAAATTTTCAATTTGGACCTCAATGAGCTAGGCTCACGATATTATCGGAAATGGATATATAACAAAAATTCCAAGTAATCCCAATTTTCCTAGCTTGGTATAATATAACCACCAATAATTTTTCAATCTAAATGGTTAATGCTTGGTCCATCAGATTTAAGTCAACCAAATCACAAAATTTTCAACTTTTTATCAATCCAACAAGTAAAATAGAAGCAACCACATGAATCCAAAATAAAAAACAAAAATAATATACCAACAAAGTTGTGAAAATAAAAAAGAAACAAGAGAGACTGTTCCAGAATCTCTTGAAGAACTACTATCAGTAGCCTAATACAACCTCATCTTGCATGATATATGCCCCCACAATCAGAATATAACATGAAGAAACAAAGAGAAAAGGGTCGTGAAAAATGCAAGGATTTTGAGGAAAAGGGTGAAAGATAAGAGAAGGAAAAAAGAGAACGAAAGAGTTATTATCTAGCAAAGTTAAGTGCATAATGAAAAGATTAGTGCTCCCCAAGTTGGTAGTTCTTAGTTCTTACACTCACTCAGTGATGAGTACAAAAGCAAGGAGGTGCCTACTACCTACACTTGGGGGAGAACATAGAAATTTTGATTTTGTAATAGAGAAAAAAGGTCTATCTAGCTAAGAATCGAATATACTAAAAAAACCAGGTTAAAATTTGTTTTTGAATTTTAATCTATATTATTTTATCAGTTAATTTCTATATTCACCTAAAATGAAGTAAACTCGAATATTAAAATGTGAAATTTGCATTAACTTTCTTTTATTTGTTAGAAACACTCATTTTCTTTTAGATAACATCAAAAAGTAACCTCATAAATTATTGAATTTTCTTTATTTATATATCTGTGTAAAAGAGTTTTCCAAAATAAAATTAATAGTGTAAAAGGAATATTTCATGTCTTGATATATTTTATTTAAAAATAAAATATAAAAAATGGAGAGAGGAAAACAGTAGGTGATTACTGAGAGTACAAATTTAAATGTAATCTTTTTGGTCTTTAGTTGCAGATAAAATTTGTTTTTTTTTTACACAAATTTATTAATAACATTTGGATAGAGGGATTACAATTTTTTCTTTTCTTTTCAGTCTCAATTGTAGCAATAGTGTAGGAGACAAACAGACTTCATCTTGGCTACCAGGACAAAGGCTTCCTCGTAATCTATCACACATGTTGATGTTGGAGTAAAGTCTACATATAAAAAAATTCTCACCCTATACCCAAGAATATTCTCTCTTCTATATATATTGTAGCAAATTGAAAGGGTTATTTATTATATATATATATGATATAATTTAATCTAATAATATAGACATTGGTAATAAGATCATAAAATTTGTTAAGTGAGATTATCAACATTTTGATAAATTTTTAAATCTTATTACCAATAAGAATTTTATAATATCTAATAGTATTATGTATATGTACAATAAATAAATCCCTCTAATTTGTTAAAATATACATATAACGGAGAGTATTAAGGGAGGGTATTATGGAAATAGGGTAACAATCTTTTTATATCTATTTTTTTGGGTGGAAAACATTGGCATAATACAAGGTGACAATTTTTTGTATTCCGATATCAATAACGTATGCAAATAGTAAATTGTACTTTTGTCATAATAAATAAGAATATTTACAGTCATTTTTGTTACACAACAAAAACCAATCTAAACAGACACACTGGGAATGGACTACAGAAATACCCATTACACGCAGGGCACAACCCAATATTTATAATATCAACGTCAAAGTTTAAATAATGAATAACATAAATAAGGGGCATTTGTTATGTACAATAATTTTACATTTCTTAAAATTTTAAAGTGATAATTTTAATTTTTTTATGTTTAGTAGTTATTTAAAAAAAATTCTAAGAATATAATTTTTCATAAATCATTTTTATCTTACTTTTCCACAAAAATATTTTCATGAAGAGATAGAAATTCAATTTTTCTAAGAGAAAAGTTTAATGTATATAAAAATATTACAATATCCTTTTTTAAAACATAACATCTCTCTCTTTTTATTTCTCTTTCTCTCTCCCTCTCTTTCTCACTCTCACTAATCACTACCCTTCTCTACCTCTCTCTCTCTTTCTCCCTCCTCCCTCTCTCTCCCTTTCTATTTCTCTTTCTCCCTGTCTTTCTCACTCCCCCTTGCTCTCTCTCCCTCTCCCTCTCCCTCTTTTTCTTATATTTTATTATTTTTTGACCTTATCAATTTTAATAATATTATTAAAGTTTGTTTTGTTTATATAATTTAATGATATTTGTAAACACTTTTGAATTAATTAATTTGTTTATTTGAATTAAATAAATATATATATTTTTACCTTTCTTAATTATTATGTAGCATTTTTCTTTGTTTATTTTTTTTTTGTTGAATTATGTATTTACATATTTTAATTATAAATTTTCAACTTTTTAAAAATAATTTAATGTCATATGCGTAATAAAATTTGAGTAAATAAATATTATTTAATAAATTTATTTTAATAAGAAATATTTATATTCTCAAGAATATAATAGTGTAACTAATCATGAAAATCTTTAATTTCCAATAATCCTATATGAATATTTTCATAAATATTTATAAGTAACTAAATATATTTTAACTATTCCCATGAATCATAATTCTCAAAATTTGTAATTCTCAAGAACAATGATTCTTGAGTATGAAAAAATTGGTCTCCTACCAAATGTCTTCTAAAGGTAATTGAAATCAAATTTTAATCATAAGACTTTAAGGTTTAAATATGTTTCAAGTGATAGAATTTGCTTTAATTCATAAAAAAGATTAATATAAATAAAAAATATTGTTGAAGGAAATTTTTTAAATGAAATTTTGCATCGATTATATTAATGGAATTAAAAAGAAATGATTCCAATTGATTTGTTTTCATTTATTTGATTATTTGAGAAAATGGAGGGGGAAATGAAAAATATTACGAAAAAATGATTTTACACATTTGATTAAGTTTTTAATTAAAAAATCTTTTAAAATAACTATTTAAAAAACTAGTTATTTCAAAGTAAAATGCAATGACATTATAAAAAATAAATATAAAATAAATATGGCTGCCTCAAGTGATAGAAAAAATGATGCAGGCTACCCGATAGTAAAAATGAAAAGTAGAAACACTACAACACTTCAAATCTCTCTTTCTGTTCAAAATCACTCGTATATTGAGCAAGGAAATAACTATATCTCCCTCGCTCAAGTCACCTAAAACAATCAAAGACTAAACAAGGAATTGAAAAAGATATATATATATATATATATATTTTTTTTTTTTTTTTTTTTTTTTTTTTGTAAATGACAAGAACCACACTATTCAATTTCAAAATTGAGATTAAAAAAACAATTGTTTTGGAACTAAAAGCAAGTATTTGTATATTCATGTGGACTAAACATTAATAAACCAAATCATAATCATATACTAGTTTTCTAAAATAAAATCCTAATCAAATCAAATCCAATTGAAATCTGAAATATAACAATATATTCCTAAAAAATCATTTTATAAAGATAAAATTTCTAAAATATAGTCAAATCCTTAAATAAGAATAACAAAAATTATAAGATTCTGCATCAACAATCATGCCAGTAGTATCAAAAGGTTCCCTTGATGTATTAAAAACTCAAGCATTCCCCGGCCCCTAGTCAATGTCCATGATAGAGAGGATCATCAACACAATTCTTCAGCAAATATCTTGTCAAATACAAGTTGAACTGCGACCAAAAGTCATCCACCAAGAAATGACATTAGTATATGAGCTTAAGTGCTTAACTCAGCAAATGGTTAGTGCAAAAGCTTTTTCAAATTATCATCGAATTTCAATAATTTGTTTGCCACATCCAGATTACATGATAGGTACCAGATAATGAAAGGGATAAAAAAAAACGGAACTACAAAGTTAGGCCAGTATCAAGGTGATATCAGATCCTGGGTTTCTGAAACACAAGCAGGAAATGCAGGATAAAAAATGACAAGAAACCAAGTCTAGGCAATTTGAGTCCCAATCTCTCCATAATTCTAACTAATTCCAGCTTACTTCACTTTTACACACTCCCTCTTAGCATCCCTTTACAACCAAATCACTCACCCCACCTCCAGCTTGTTACCGTTAGTTACAAAGTGGAACCCTTTATTTCTGTCTTTATCTTAGCAGTCCTGTCATTAAAACCAAAGATTACATGTCCTAAAAGTTAAAAATGTTCTTCACTTCTTTGTACTAAAGCATCTATAACTTTTCCTGCCTCCTATTTCCCCACTTACCCCCAAACAAAGCCAAGTATCCTCTAAACACCCCAGAAACTGATCATCTGGACAAATAAATAAATAATCCATTTTTTATGTTTTACATATTTACTTTTCATAAAATAGAGTCAGCACAAGACTTGTAGGCCTTTAATTTATAAATCCTTCAAACAAAATAATGTAAAATATTAGATAGTGAAAAGTATTTCAAACCAATTTCCTCTCATGCAGTAAATGAGGAGGGGAAAGAAAGTAGAAACAAGGTCTGAACCTTAAAGAGACAATTATACTTGCAGCTTTGTGTTAGAAAATCTAAGAAATCAAAACAACACTTCTACCACACAGATAACTCAAACATACCTTCCTCAGTATTGAGATTGGGTTGATCAACCAAGAGTTGCTGAAGTGCACCAAGATCACTGGCACTGAAATGCAGTTAATGCAAAGTAACCCATACAACACAGAATAAAACATTGAACACCACACCACCAACAAAAGTATAGACATTAGAAAACGAAAAGCAAGCATTGTGAATAAGGTACATGATAAATCTTGGTATCTTTGTGCATATAGAAATGGATGCAAGTGCAAATGAGTACATAGATCACTAGTTTACATCTTTGCCTTTTGTTTTCTCTTTCTTTGTCCCTGTCAGTGTTTATTTTGATTCAAACCCTTCTAAAAATTAAAAAACCAGAGTGCTTTAAGAGCAGGAAAACAACGGGCCCGTTATCCTAGAGAGCTTATTAAAATAAGTTTTAAATGGCTTATGGATACAACATAAGATATCCTAAACACTTAAACAAATGTTTATGTAATAAGATACGTCCAAACAATTTATAAATAAGTCCTTCCAAATAGACCCAAAGTCCAAATGCCATTGCCACTGTATTTTACAAATCAGTTGTGGAAAATGTCAAAAATAGAAGAAATTTTGCTTTGAGTTGGATTTCTTAGCTTGGTAGAAAAGATTTTGATGCTAAATGTAGAAGGACTTCCCGCTACATTTCCTATGATTAAAAATAAAAATAACAAAAGTATATCATGGTTTAGGGAAATTAGAAAATAATGAGTTAGAGAAGGAGAATGTTTTCTATCTTTGTAATTCTGTAACTGTGTAACTGTGGCAGAGAGATCATAAATGTACTAAAGTCAGTTCAAAGTAAGTTAATTTAGATCTCTTCTCGGAGGAGTATAATGAAACCTTTGAGAATGTTTTATTTCTGATTATAATAAGTTTACGGAGACCGTTTAAGTTTAAAGATAAGTTTGGAAAAGAGAGGACCAAATTTGTTTTACATGCTTTTGTGGTGCTTGTCAATGTTACACTTACTACAGCCTCTCATTTACTTTCCCACACGCATATATAGTCAAAGGAATAAAAGGCACACATGTGCATCGACACACTCATACATATTACATACTCAAAGGAAAGAATAATGTATAGGGGAAATATCCATGATTCCATATACACAATTATGACTTTTCATGGTTAGGCTATAGCATTGGTATTTTCATACCTGGGCTTTAAGGCCATTTCTGATAGTGCTGAGATCACTGATGATTTTAACAAATACCTATTTCAGAAGAAAAATTTTTCAAAAAAAAAGCAGTTCAGTCAAAATGGTGTTATCAAAAGTAAAATCAATGAAAAATAAAGCACTTTGGCACAAAGCATTTAAAGAAGATAGTAACATTCCAATATCAATAATCATTTTAAGAAATTAGCAGCTGTTTCATCCAACCAATAATAAAGATTGAAGGCTAACAATCTCAACTTTTCCTATAAAAATAAAAAATAAAAATAAAAATAAAAACAGACGAGCCATTGCATTTTTTAGTTTTCAAACAGGAATTAAACTGAATTTAATTGGTCAGATTAAGCCAAATGTTCTAATACAATATCAGTAATAGATGCATAACAAACATTAAGAGAAGGAAGCACAGTGGTTGAGTTAGTTATGTGTTTCTCAAGACTTGGGAATAACACCCCTATTAGGTATTCGTAATTGTTGGGGTGCACCTAGGGGAGTACCCCACACATATGTCTACATTGATATAATATTGTTCACTTTGGACCTAAACATTTATGATTTTGCTTTTGGTTATCTCCTAAAAGACTTCATACAAATGGAGCATGTGTATACTTTGTAAACTCATGGTTCTCATCCTTTCCAAATGATGTGGAACTTTGATTGCACTTTTCAACAATCATCCCCTCAAACAAAAAATCACAGTTAACCTCCTTTTTAGTGGATAGACCACAAGTATTCCATGGTGGCCCCTTGCTTTTCCACCATTAAACGGGACACGTTCCTGATCTCCATGTTACTAGGAAGACCTCCACCTCCATATATGGAACCATTGTCAAAAGCCACCAAATCTACCATACTTGTTCAAGCTGAAGTCAGTTCTCCATTGACCCTATCATCGCTTCATCCTATGCACCAGGATTCACACATTTCCATAGACAACACCACTTGTTGGGATGCACCAAGGGGAGCACCCCACACACATGTCCACATTGGTATAATATTGTCCACTTTAAGTCTAAGCCCTCATGGTTTTTCTTTTAGTTATTTCCAAAAAGGCCTCATACCAACGAAGCATGTGTGTATTTTATAAACCCATGGTTCTCATTTCTAAATGATGTGGGACTTTGATGACACTTTTCAACAATAATATTTTATCCTCATGATAAAATCTCCAATTCTCCAACCATAAAAGACTAGCAAAATATTTGATTTGGGAGACAAGGGGAGGCAGGGTAGAAGATATTGGCATGCAACCTTGACATTGCATCATCAAAGTAGTTTCAGTTATAGTGAGTAGAGAGGTTGGGCAAGTTAAAATTAAGCATTGACATGAATAACATAACTCTAATTACTAAGTGCCCTTTGGTTTAGATTCCACAAACTAGAGCAAACACATCACAAGACACTCCCAACTAACTTTTTCTCAAGTAAAAACTTTAAAATTGACAACATATATTTATCATACCCAATGGCCATACCCTGGTGAAATAGTCCACAACTATCCAAAGAGTACAAAGTCACACTCTGGAGCTCCACTCCTTTTCTTTTTAGTTAAAAATCTCTTTCTACCCTTTATTTTTCTGTCAGTTCCTTCAACTGATTTATGCATTCAACAGGTTGGTAAACTACTATTGAACTCTTTATAGAGCACTAAAGGCAAGGTGTTTCTGGTAAGAACCTTGGGAGAGCCACACCACAAAAGCTAGTTATTGTAGTTGGAGAGTCCAAGGCCTTATAAACCCTACACTAGAATCTCGTACTTCTAATGTAGGACTCAAGTCCCATACCTTGCAATTGGATCCTAAGAGTTTCATTTGGCATTTTAGAGGCATGTTTCTTACTGAAATAGAACTAACTTAGATGAATATGGTAACAATTGAATTACATTTTATTTATGGTATAGGCCTTGAGTTTTATCTATTTTTTCTTTCCTTTTTTTTATTTCTACTTCTTGATAAAACAAGGCCGCCTTAAGATGCTCTATATATATATTACAAATCTACATTTTGGTTTGCTCTTGAAAGGGAGTTAAAGTGGAGGACACATGATGTTGAAAAAAAATAAGTCTCCAAGCTCCATAAATAAAATGTAATTCAAGTGCTATCATGTTCATTAGACTTCCAGCCAATCATCTAAGTTCTTGAATCATATTATTTGATGCATTAAAACTAAATTCGTATTAATGATTTGTTGGTTGTCTAAAAGCACAAAATAATATATAGTAAGAAAAAGTCCCAAATATTATTCCTTACTCAGAGTTGTATATCTCATGTATAAACATTAGGCTATCCAAGCAATAAATCAGACTAGGTTTGACGCCAACTTGCTGATGCAGTTGTTTCACAGTCATATTAGAACTGCCTTTCACTAGTTGTCTACTATCACGGTGAATTTTGTCCAGAGATAAAACAATACAATGAAATTCTTCCCTGAAAGTTCAAATTCAAATTTAAAGAAATAAGTCATGAAAGCAAACAGATTATCCTCTAAAGATCGTCAAGGTTCATAACCTTGATCTTAAAAGCTGAACAAAAAAACACTCCATTTCAGATTTTCATTAAGAACACCTAAAGAAGGAAAAAAACTACAGTAAGTGAAAAACTAAAAGATAACCAAAAATAAATAAATGGTATATATAACCATTTCATCAACATCGAGAAAAAAATGAAGCATTTTGCATCGATCTAACCTCCATAATTTGTGCATATAAATGATATCAAATGTAACTTGTATTTATACATTAGACAGCATTGTAAGGCTAAACTTGATACAATAATATTATTAATCCATATCAATAGCTGTTAGTAAAAAACACTTGAGCTAATTTTAAAAGCTGTTCTCAAGTAATGTTTGGTAAAAACATTTAAAAAGTTGTTCTACAAGTGGTTCTATATTCAGTAAACATTACAAACTTTTCAGTGTTGGAAAGGAACAAATTAAACACACAAAACATAATTTTTGTGAAAACATTTTGGGCTTTTTACATGAAGCACAAAACTACAAGTTGTCTTTAATCAACAGTTTGGTACTTATCACCTTATCTTAAGTAGATGCCATTCACAAAAGTAGAAAACAATTCCAAACTGGAAAGATTTTAGTACATTAGCCATAAACTTAACATGCTTATTGCTATTACATGTCACTTTAGATACCTTGTCCGAACATTTTGACAAAGAAAAATCAGGTGATAGTGAATTTGTTTAATATCATTCTCACATTGGAAAGATTGCAGACCTGAATAGAAACTCACAAAGTCTTTCTTATGGAAACCAAAATGTTCCTGAAAGATTCAATCTGCTTTTCTAAAATAGCATCTCCCAAGCCAATAACACACTTTAGAACACCATAATTGTTGGAATTTTGAAGCACCTGCTTACATCACCACCCACACCAGTTACTTACTTCAAGTTCCCTTGTGATTCAGAACTATAGCATTGGTAGTACATGTAGAAGTCAGATTACCTGCAACCTATCAACAATATGGGAAGCATTCCTAAACTGTGAAATTAAGCAAGATTGAAGTTCATCCCATTGATTCATTTCTTCCCTAACTTTTCTGAATTTTGACTGAAATCTTTTAACTATCGATTCCATTGTCAATGCTGAACCAACCAGTCACAAGGCTCAGACCTTACACAGAGGAAAAAGTAATAATTAGTTACAGTTCTAATTTCCAAGCATGTCACTCAGGCTAAGTGTGAGCAATTTCTAACATAGTTAAAGACACTAACCATGTTTATTAACACAAAATCAAAAGAGAATATTTACTTGTACGAAGATGAAAAAAAAACGTGGAGCCACTTTGAGAGCTATGAAGATACCCATATTCAGTGCATTCACGCACCTTGGATGAAAGTCAAACAGTTTAAATATACATAATATATTATATGTTTGATTCACAGGGATAAAATATGATCAATTTGATCTTCATCCGACGAAATGTTTTGATTTAAAAGCACTGTTCAGTGAGAAACGAAACAACTAATTCAATTTTATTCTTGAAGAACAATATATTTAATTACTAAAAATACCGGGCAACAAATTACTATGGACAAAGATAGAACCACAACTTTTAGAAATTTTTGGGAACGAAACAAATGCAAGTGTAAAATGATTAATGTGTCATATACTCATCCATATATAACATTGAAGCTTCAATTAGGCTACTCCAATGAAAACAAAAACAAAAAACACCCAGAATGCACAATTGAGAAACAGAGTTCTCCACCGTCCATTTGTTTTCAGTAAAATCATAACAAAAGAAACTTAGAAAAATCAGAGCACCAAATTCATAGGACAATGACACATATTTGATATTGAAGAGCAAATTTGCGCGATGGAAGAACACAAAAAAAAAAAAAAAAAAAAAAAAAAAAAATGAAAAAAATCTTGTACTTTGGGTTTGCTCGTTGACGACATAGAAGACGCAGATTCCCCTTGAGAGAGAATGAGCGAGTACCTGAAACAAGCTAAACCGTTAAACTGTGAGGGTGCTTTTGGCGTTACAAGTTTATGTTTAGAACTTTAGAATTTAGATGGAGGATTTTAGAATTATAAAAAAGAAATTAAAAACTTTAATTGTTTCAAATTAATTTTTTTTTTTTTTAACATTTTCAGTTTTATATATTTGGATAAAGTAAATAGATTTCTAAAATTTGTAATATTTTATTATTATTATTAGATTTTTGCTTTGATTCCATCACCAAATTCTTCATTTTAAAACTTTGCATTTGAATAAAATAATTGTTTTTACTTATAAAGTCTTTTATTTAGAATAAGATAATTATTTTATTTATAAATTCTATTATGTAAAATAATATAATAAAATAATATATTTTTTGTTTTATTTAATATAAATTATTAATATTACTGGTAACTAATTTTAGTAATATGAATGAGTCTCGAAACACTTATTATAACAACTCTTATTATCAATCATAACATTTTACAAAATAAAATAAAGATTTTAAATAAAGTTTTAATATTGGTAACAGAAATGTTTGAAATGTTAATTTATTTATAAATATCTCGTAACTAATAATAAGAGATAATAGATATTCATGATAAAATACAGTAAAATTGTGTAATTTAAATATTTCTTATTTAAAAGTTGAAAAGGATTAGAAAAAACTATTCCAAAATATATTATTTTCTTTTTCATCCTATATTTATATATATATATATATATATATTTTAAAAAAATTAAATATATTTTTAGTCTTTTAAACTTATGATAAATTTATTTTTAGTCTTTTAAATTTAAAATTAGTCTTTTTAATTCCTGTAATTTTAAAATGTTTTATTTTAATTCTTATACTCAAATTTTGTTAGATAATCTGTTAATTATCATCGTATAAAATTTATTTATTAGTGTTTCTATTAGTAAAAATATCACAATAGTTGCTGTTGTATAACTATTTTAATTTGTCACTTTTAGATATATTATTTGTGACTCAAGAAATTAAAACAAAACATATTTAAGCTTGATTTTTACCATCAAAATATTCAATTTCACCATAATAATCATCTTCATTTTCACTATTTTCAACTACAATATCAAGTTCTTCATCATTCTTATATAGTTATTCATTTCCAAAATTTTTAGCTTTGGAATCTAGATTATCTAGATTTGCATCATTTTGAAGAAAAATTACAGGATGTTTAACAAAAAAAATCATCAATATCAATTTCATTTTGTTTATTTTTTTTTCTTCATTTTAGATGACTAAAAGTTTATTTTCTATGCAACATGTTCAAATCCAAACAATTAGATAAGTATAGACAAAAAAGATTAAATTATATAATCTATGATTCAACTTATGAGTAACAAGTCTTTAATTACTAAATGGCAATAGAATAAAACAATAATACTTTTTTATTTTTAAACTTTCACCTTAAACTTTTAATTTGTTATAATGGTAGAAGAAAATTAACAATGATGGCACGTCAACTATAAAATTGTTGTGGTTAACAAATAAGAGTTTTTAATTTAATTTTAAGATTCTATCAGAATATAAGAGATAATAATTAAGTGAATAGAGAATTAAGGAGTCATATATATAAAAGGAAAAAGGAGAAATTTCAAGAAAATCCTTATTTATTAGTAATACGAAAAATATAGGATAATAAAAATTAAAAAAAAGTAAATAATATATTATATTATATTATATATATATCACTTTTCTCTTTATATTTAACATTACTAATTTACTTTCCTAAAATTATAAATAAATTTTTATTTATAATTTGAAACATTACACATCAATTGATTAATTATTGTTGATTAATTCTTTTTTAAAATTAGATCTTATATAATTTAATTGTTTTAAGTTTTATTTTTAATTTTATATAAATTAAAAAACATAAAAAAGAAAATTGTGCCCTCTATAAATGGGGCCTTGAGCAGTCGTCCATCTTGATTATACTTAGGGTTGCCACTGTAAGTTATTAAATTGCCATATAAGTAAGTTATTAAATTGCCATATAAGTTTATTGTAATGCTTGTGTTGAACTTGATATTTTCAACATCAAATTCTTGAGAAAGTAAAAATATTTTATGTATCAATGTATTTTAAGTTCAATGTTTATTTTCTTTAAGTTTAATAACTAATTTAATTACTTGTGTAGTTATGATTTAAGTTTTGTCCATTCATCTTGTAGTTATTCATTTATCAAATTTGGTGCATGCTGAACAAAGGATAAAGTTATGAATGATCTTATCAAGAACAGATTTAGTAATACTCTGACATTGGAAGTGTCACATTGAATTGATTATGTTATCTGTTTTAATATTTAATTAGTGTTTGAATATATAAATTATATTTTAAATGTATGATAAATAATTTATATTATAGAAAAATATTATTATTTATTGATAATTTATTTTTAAATATTAATATTTAATTTATAAATAATTATAATAAATAAAAATTTAATTAAATAAGAAGTTAAAAAATTTCTTACAAACTCTTTAACTTAAGAAAAATTCCTAAAATCAATCCCATGCAATATAACAATTCATGTTTGATATATAGAAAATTGATAGTAAATTTTTAAAATTGCATAAGACAAACAAAACTAAACCAAATTCATAATACCTTTAAACAAAAACCAAACTGGAGACCTTTTTTTTAATATATAAAAAAAAAATTTATTTTTCTAAATAACCTCATCCCATTTTATTTATCAAAATGATTCATTTACTATTTAAGGTGAGAAATCGGTTGGAGAACCGGTTTCTTACCCTCAGTTTTTATAAAAGATATACAGACATTATGAGAAATCGGTTGATATGAAACCAATTTCTCAACAGCTTTATTTTTTATTTTTTTTGGTTTTTGGTTTTTGTTTTTTTTTTTCGGTTTTCTGTTTTTTGTTTTTTGTTTTTTTTTTCCGTTTTTGGTTATTGTTTTTTTTATTTTTTTTTTTCCAGATTTTTAATTTTCTTATTTTCGTATTTTAATTTTAAATTTTAAGTTTTTTTTTTTAATTTTTAGTATTTGTAAATAAAATAGTTTAGTTAAGTTTTTAGAATAAAAATAAATAATGAAATAATTATTAATTAAATAAATAATGAAATAAATATTAATTACTTTTATTTTTTGATTTTTTTTCTAGATTTGTTATTTATTTTGTTTTTCAGTGAGGGGGAAGATGATGCAAGACTCCAACAAGACGATGAACAAGATGAACAAGATCGTGTTGTACAACAATCTCAGCACGTAAGCACATTCAGTTTTCCTTCACACATGCATAATGTTGATTTGCAAACAGATTTCACTGACCCAGAGTATAGACACACTACGTCAAAAACATCAATAGATGGCGCTTATTTTAATGATAGACAGCGCTTAAAAAGCGCTCTCTATTTTAACGATGTCTATTAATAGATAGCGCTTCTAAAAAAGCGCTATCCATGTATATGCAAATAGAAAGCACTTCCTTTTAAGTGCGTTAACTATGTATATGCAAATAGAAAGCACTTCCTTTTAAGTGCGCTATCTATGTCTAAGTACCTACATGACGCTTTTAAAAAGAAGTGTTCTCTATCTTTTGAATGTATAGACAGCACTTCCTTTTAAGTGCGCTAACTATGTATATGCAAATAGAAAGCACTTCTTTTTAAGTGCGCTGTCTATGTCTAAGTACCTACACTGGATTTGACGAACCACTTCCACCGACCTCAGAGTGATAAGACGAAAATGAAGGGAAATTCATGCTTTGCATGTAATTATATGCACTTTGTGGCGTGTGTACGTCGACGCCGAAAAGATTACTCATGAAATCCCCTGTTGGAGTTGTTGTTGATGGTGGTGTGTACATGAATTGTTCATGGTGCGTATGAAATGATGGATAAGACTGAGGATGTTGTTTCACACTATAAGGTGGGTGATTATCTCTAGCCATTGGGAATGTTGTTGCAGTTGTTGTTGGGAGTTGCGTACTAGAAGTGGATGCATGAGATGAAGAATACTGGCTACAAAGAAATAATTTAGAATTAACACAAAACCATTGTAAATACTCTGGAGTGTATTGGAGAGGCCTTTGAAGTGGTTCCCCGAAAATAACATGTTTGCGTCTGTCTTTCCAAATGGAAATCCAGTCTGCATGTTGTTGAGCCCAGTTGGTGTCGCTATGTCCTCTCATGTCTATGTCGTGCATTTTATCAAGATTATGAGCTTCGTTGGGGGTTGGTTACCATAAGCCAAATTGCAATTGGACTCTATCAGTTTGATGCCAGACTACAACTGCAAATGAAGTTAAAGCAGTACAAACAGTCCATATTCTAGAATCCTTATAAGCACGTGCTGGCAGCAAGGACTGAAATTCCCTATATGACATCAATAGAAACTGTAAAAGAAAAAGGTTAAATATTTTACTTGTTCGATGTAAAAGAGAGTATGTTTGAGAGAAATTTACATTGTATTACCTCGTTATGGTTCATATTGTCTAGTATACACATTACAATATGTTTCAAATGTGTATAACGAATTATTTGGTGAACTGCCTAATGAATCTTATTGGCCAGATTGTGAAGAACCGCAAAGCATAGCAAATCCGGAAAAGATTAGAAATAAAAGAGGTCGTCCAAAGTCATCCAGAATACGCACTGAAATGGATATGATTGAACCAAGACAACCAAAAAGATGTTCTCTCTACAGAAATATAGGTCACTTAAAGAAGAAATGTCCTTACCGTCAAGGGAGTTCAAGTCATCAAGCTTAAAATGTCATCAAACCTTCTAAATATTGTATTTTGTTTTCTAGTATTTTATATAAATATTTTATCTTTTGTTAAAATTTTTAATTAATATTTATTTCATTATTTATTTAATTAATAATTATTTCATTATTTATTTTTATTCTAAAAACTTAACTAAATTATTTTATTTGAAAATACTAAAAAAATTTAAAAAACTGAATATTTAAAATTAATATACAAAAATAAAAAAAATAGAAATCTGAATAAACAAAATCAAAAATAAAAAAAAAACAAAAAACAAAAAACAAAAACTAAAAACAAAAAAAAAACAAAAAACAAAAACCAAAAACAAAAAAAAAAAACAAAAAACAAAAACAAAAAAAAAAAAAAAAAAAAAAAAAAAAAACCAAAAACAAAAAAAAATAAAAATAAGGCCGTTGAGAAATCGGTTTCGTATCAACCGATTTCTCATAATGTCAGTATATGTTTTATAAAATCTGAGGGTGAGAAATGGGTTCTCTCAACCAATTTCTCACCTTAAATAGTAAATTGGTCATTTTGATAAATAAAATGAGGGTGAGGTTATTTAAAAAAATAAAAAAATTTAATATATTAAAAAAAAAGTCCCAAACTGGATTGTATTTATTTTTTCTTTTTAATTTGAATGACTTTTAAATAGAAAATTGAAGCTTAAATGACCCTAGTTTCATGTTTTCGAATATAAAACAAAATTCATGTCCCTGATTTTAAAAAAAATTAAAATTATATTCCAAAAATAAAAGCAAACATTATTTTAAAAAAATAAATCCTTCCTTATTTAAAATATAAGAATCCAAAATAATAAAAGTTTTAAAAAATAAAAATTAAAATAAATCTTACAAATAAAATAAAAGATCAAAATAATAATTTAGTAAATTATTTGAATTGACTAGTCCAAATAAAATATATTTAAGAATGATAGAAATTGAAATCAAAATAATTTAAATACTAAAAATTTAAAATTTTTTGAATTTTTAAAATTTATGACCCAAACATACCATTAAATAATTTATCTTTTCAATTTTTTTTTATCATTCTTAATATTATTTTCTTATTTGTTTCTTTCCTGTGATTAATAAAACCTTATTATTATCCTTTTAATTTTTAAGCAACACATAGATATAGATATACATAGATGAAGAGGGGTATTATAGTCATAGTGCACATAAAAAACCCTAGCCGCTCCTCCTCTCATATTAACGTTGTTGTTTCTGCCCCAAACATACTCGCATTGTTTCTTCTGTGCCGCTGTTACTCTCTCTTCAGATTCCATTCCCAATGGTACGCTTCTCTTCATTCCTCTCTCACACGCTTTCTCTCTCTAAATTGAAACCCTTTGTGTTTTCCATTATGTTTAATCACAGGCTTCGGAGAAGAAACTATCCAACCCCATGCGGGAAATCAAGGTCCAGAAGCTCGTCCTCAACATCTCCGTCGGTGAAAGTGGCGATCGTCTCACCAGAGCCGCAAAGGTTTTTTTTTTTCTTCCAATTTTTGCACTATTTTTTTTGTTTTGTTTTGAACCCTTTGTTAAATTAATTTTTTTTTGTGTAACAGGTGTTGGAGCAGCTTAGTGGCCAAACCCCAGTGTTTTCCAAAGGTTGTTTTTCTGTTTCTTCATATTATTAGGGTTTATTGTGATTTAGTCTCCAAATAGGACAATGTTAATGTTTACTTTTAGTTCCTCAATTGATGAGTCGGTTTAAGAAATGAGAGATTGAGAAGAGACGGTTTATATTTGGAGATTGAAAAACAATGTTGTTTATAGGGGCTAAAAATGTATCAACTCTTGTAGTTGTTATTTTGCTTTGGTTATTTGTGGAACTCAGTTACGAAATTTGTTGCAATTTTATGTTTTAATGAGGTTTTGTTTGTTTTTTATTTTGCTGGTTGTGCCATACGATATGTTCTACTTCTTTTGTTTGCGTTGTTGTGAAGTTCTGCTAGTTTTTTCCTTTCAGTTTTTATAGGCTGAAATATGTGTTTCATTGGGATACCTTGTTATTTGAAAAATTGTTGTCTTTTTCTTTTACATTTGAGAAAGAAGCTATTGTGCAGTTAAAGTGGCATCTAATATAATTGGAAAGTAAACCTGCAATTGCTCAGTTTTTGAGATGTTTTAGATTGAGCTGTGGTTGAGTTTTTATTGTGTGAATGCCTATATTTGTTTGTTTACCTGATGTTTACTGACTTGACTGTTTGCTTCATGGTTTTTTGTACCCATTAAAACCAATGAAGTAGTCATGGTATCTCTTTGGATAATGGAGTAAACAGGGATAATGAATCGACACTTAACTTTATGAAAACTGATGTCTGGCTATGGTCATTGATGTGATTGTTTGAGTTTGGAAACAAGATTTTAACCAACAGTCTGCAACTGCAGTTGTGGCCACATTCTCAAGGCGTTTTGGGTCTGAGCCAATCGTGACTGCAAGATGCTTTTGTCAGCATTTATTTTCTTCACAATATTAAGATCTGAGACAAGATTGTTACCATGATCAAAACTTAAAATCTTGTTTGGGAATTCAAGCAACATTTGTTGTGAAGGGGAGAGTATTTTGGCTCCATAATCGAGTCATCAGCAGGGGTCCATTTATTGGCCACCTGACTGCCGCTTGGAGCCAAAATGAAAATACCAGAAGAAGATCCTTGAAACCCCTGGGTTGTTTTCAAGACACAATATCTGGTGAAATACTTATATGATAATACTCTAAAGATGTAGGTAAATTCTAAATTGTATTGAATTTAGGGTCTTTCAATTTCTGAAAATTTGTAAACACGTAACCATTTTGATTATGCTTTTGTTTTCTATTTTTCCTGCAAAACATGTTGTTTGAAGGAGATGCGATGGTTATTCCGAAAGTTTAATGTTCCTATATGCAATATGTTTTGAGCCCCCCCATATGTAGACAAAAACGATTTTCTCTTGTTGCTACTGGCTGTTCTCTGATTGTTGTGTTTTGTGGTTGTTAACAGCAAGGTATACTGTCCGTTCTTTTGGTATCAGAAGAAATGAAAAGATTGCATGCTACGTTACAGTTAGAGGGGACAAGGCAATGCAGCTTTTGGAGAGTGGATTGAAGGTGAAGGAATATGAACTTCTGAGAAGAAACTTTAGTGATACCGGGTGTTTTGGCTTTGGTATTCAGGAGCACATTGACTTGGGAATCAAGTAAGTTTGAAATCTTTTTAAGAGTTTTTGAGAAAATAAATTTGTTATTCATTGTTATGCTTATTTGGCAGTATATGAAGCTGTTATAACTCTGCATGACTTTTTTTATTTTTTATTTTTATTTCCATTTATCAATTAAGCATTTGATAATTATACAAAGGAAAAAATATAATACTATCAGCTATTTAATGTTAGGTTGTAGCCAGTTCTGCCCTAGAGATTTACATTTAGCATGGAATATGTATTTGTCATAATAATGCATGTTTTAATCTACATTTGTTTGTTTCTTTGGTTTTGCATACTGTCTTTTTAAGTTGAAAACAAATAGAAATTCAATATGTCTGTTTCCACATATCATTTTCTTTCTAACTTTTAATTTTAATGACAATCAACTTCAAAATTTATTCTTTTTATGAACATTGTTTCTTCAGGTATGATCCTTCAACTGGAATTTATGGAATGGATTTCTTTGTTGTTTTGGAGCGCCCTGGTTATCGTGTCGGACGTCGTCGCCGTTGCAAGTCTCGTGTAGGGATCCAGCATCGTGTCACCAAGGAGGATGCTATGAAATGGTTCCAGGTGAAATACGAAGGTGTGATCCTCAACAAGTCACAGGCAATTGTTGGTTAAATTGAGCTAGTTGTTTGAGGAGTTTGAAAGTTTTGTTATTTTAAATTTGATGCTTCTTGGTTTAGTAGCTTAAATTTCTAGAATATGAATGCGACTGGTCATATGAGCTATTTAAAGTATTTGATTTTGACATATAAATTGAATATCATGCCTTTGACCCTTAATGGAATGTTATATTTTGCATTTCTTCTACCCGTTTTGTTTGAGGAATATATGTACAAATTCTCCAGTGATTTTCTGTCGTTTCTTGCATTTGCCCTTCAATTTCTGGCCTTCCTAGGATGAAACCAATTCGATTATAACAATTTAAGTTTTGCTTTCAAATTCACCAACTATTCATTTGTTGTTTCAAATGAGAATGTATCCCAATAATTATTGAATTGAGAGGTGGGTCTTCTTTTTGGTCCATAATTACTAATTTGGTTAGAGTAAAACGATATATGCTTGGCTTTGAATTTTAACAATTTGTATTATGTACATATTTTTGCAATGGTTTTCAACTTTTAATCCCAACATAAATGATATTCTCAAATCATTTTACTGAAGTGAGTTTTAAACACCTCCAATGTACTTGAATGCATTGCTAAATTAGGGACAGCATAAGATTCGACAACATTTATATGATTTTGTTAGTTACTATAATATATAAATATATAATTACAGAACTGAATACGTATATGACTAGAATTAAGATTTTTTTTATAATATATATTTAAAGGTATGTATTAATATAATATCATGACAAGATAAAATTTTATTCGTTTAGTCAAAAAGCTATATTAGTTATGTTTTTAACATACATATTCTTAAAATACATGCATTGGATCAAATAAGGATCTTGTGTCTAATTTTTTAATTTCATTTGTCAAAAGTTGTTTCAGATCGTGTTAGTGAGACTTGACATGTCATAAATACTCCTAATAGTACTCATGCAACTGAGAAATGAAATAGTTAGAATTAAATAAAATCATTACATAACGTGGAGACATCAAATAAATTGTTAGGAATACAATACAAGTCCACTAGGACCACTACTAGGAGAATTACACTACACACTATTCACTATATCATACGACAAATTAACTACTCACGTTGCATTTAAATTCGCTATAAATGTTTACATGGAACAATTTGCAGAGCTATTATGTCATAAAAGTCTAAAATAAAATTTTTTAATATCCCATCATTCAAAATTAACAATAAATTATACTTAAATTTTTATTGAAAAAAAAAATGGTGGGTTGGTGGGCAACCCGGCCACCACAGGTTTAGCCCGGGTGAAAGTGGGCCGGGTTGAGATATACCCACCTATACTATAAAACTTCAATTTTTTTGGCCTGGTCGGGCCCGTTTTCAAGGTAGGCCGGGTTGGCCCATGGGTCCTGGCCCACTTTGACGGCTCTAGTTTGTTTTGAAACTAAATGAATATGTAAAATCAATTTAAAATGTCTTAAATTGAACAAATTGTAAATAAAAAATTGCGTTTTTAATGCGATTTGATTTTTGGTTTCTATTATTAAAATTAAACCGAATCGAAAATATATTTGTATTAATTTGTAGTATATGTAGTATTATCAACATTTCATAATAATAATAATAATAATATGTAGTATATGCAGTAAGATTTTCAACATTTCATAATAATAATAATATTATGCAATTCAATGTGCAAGACAACTTAGTTATATTAAATTATGAAGGAATATGATAAATCTGAAAACTTTTTCCCAAGTCAACTTTAAACCATGACATGATGAATGCCAAAGAGCTTTCCATAGTTATCACCAACAATTCCACCAAATCCTGAACTGCTGGAATTGCCAAAAGAATGAACTATCAAAGGAAGTTTTGTTTTGCTGAAAAGGGTGTCACTTTTGTTTTTTCTCTCATGGTTCAAGAAAAGGTTAAACAGAAAAAAGAGAGAACTATATACCAAGAGAGACAATAAGCCTTGTAATTTCAGAACTCAAGGCTGAAAGCAAAAGAAGTTGAACTACAAAAGTGAGAATTTTTGTAGTGAAATTAGTTACGAGGTATCTGAGAATCGAAGTGATTAAGTGAAAGAGATAGTATTTAAATTGATGTAAGATTAAATTCATATAGGATTTAACTCATTTAAAATTCAACACTAACAAAGATTAAAACTATGTACAACATGCAATCAACTCAAACTAGTTATATTAATGCTATTGGTTTGATTCTTTAGATAAAAGAGTAATGCTATATATACAACAAAAATTTTAAAATAATTTGTACTTTACTTTCGTGTTTTTTTCTCTCCATCATTTTAATTATTATATAAATATTTTTTTTATGATTAAGACAAATAGATAAAAAAAATGATGTATAAATTGTTATATAATTTTTGTTGTATATGTAACATTATTTTTAATAAAATACATTTCATATACCTCAACATGTAACTTCACTTGTAATATAAGAAGTATCAAACAACAATTATAGCTATGTTTGGGAATCTGTTTGTGTCAACGCAGACGAAAAATTCCATTTTCCCATCCATAAAAGTAGGAAGCAAAGTTTTATAACTTTTGTTTCAACGTCCTTTTTGAGTGGCTCGAAACACCACAAACACACACTATCTCTTTAGAAGTTGACTATTCAAATTGTTAAGTACACCAAAAACCAGTTATCAATGACAATAATTCAAGGAAAGAATTGGAAGCAAAATTCAACAGTGAAATATCTTGTTCAATAAACAACTCAGACGTCTATAACCACATAGCAAATCTGGGTTTGGAAAATACTTGTTTAGTAATTACCTGAAGCCAAATGGCTGAAGAGAGCCCCTTAGAAGTTTCATGATTATTGATTTTAAAAGAAACTAAATTTGAATTTTTTGAAATGTTCTCGCATGATAACCTCTTGAATCAATAATTTAGTGAATTCCAGGCAGGAGCAACGTCCATAATCTTGTTAAAAGTTTAGCTGTACAATTTTTATAATACACAAACTGACATATATTCCTTTATTAGTTTGCCAAAAGTAATATCTAAGAATGTTAGAATAACCATCTTTAAGACTACTAGTTGCTACTCTGCATATATTCCATGGCACATTTATACTTTAGTTCATGGTATCATTCTAATCAATGTGAATGCATCCAGTGTTAACAATCTTTGCCTTTAGTCTTATAATACTGTTTAAGCTAAAAACTGTACCTCCAGCTGTGGATAAGATTATGTATCTAGCAGTACAAGAATTGTAGTAGTTTGTGCATGCCATTGGATGATGATTTTAAATTATCCAATGTTTCACTATACACATATCGAAGATGTGGAAAGGCTATTCGCATTATTTTTTCCATGAAACCAAGGTTTCCAAGTATGCAAATGAAATAAAAGAAGAGGAACTACTTTCTTTACTCCATGAAACTCAGAACCAAGAATCAATTTCCCATCAAGCCATATTATTGATGGCTTAAAAGACAGCAAGAGTCCAAGGGAGGCAACAAGACACAACTTTTAAAGTTGCTAAACTTCAAGGACTTCACATTGGATAATGAATCGTCTCCAAAGTCCAAACCAAATTTGAAATCATGTACCACCAAAGCTCTTTAGTGGCATGTACAATTTCTTCAATCTGAACCAATAAAACCATACAGTCCAATAATTAGATTAGAACAATGGACATTGGAATATTTTAAGAAGCTATACTAAAGAAAATAAAAGATAATATGCTGCTTCATTTACCTTTAAAAATATAGTTAAATCTCACATTCCAATGTTAAATCTAACAGACACAATAGTGGCTGGCAATAATATGCTGCTCCAAAACTGTGTTTTATGATCCTGCTGCAAATGCAAAACAAAACTTGAAAATCCAATAACTTGAAGTTGGTTATCATTTTCTTCAGATATTCACACATCAATTTAGATGTATGAACTTGTCTACCAAAATGGAATTCAAGGAATTTTAAGCCACTATAAAATATGCCATTGTAAGGACTAAAAACTAGGATTTCACCATAGCAAAGTCAAATGTTCTCAGATTATGTATATCAGTACCTCAATTGTATAACATGCAAACCAAAAAATTGGCAATCATTCATAAACAACTTTAATTTTTTTGTTAGAGTTTCTTCTTGAATTTCCTTCAGAAGATAATGTTTGGGAATTCAGGAAACATTTTTAGACAGAAAACTAAACAAATGTTATTAACAAAAAGACAGGTACGTTGGAACAGTGGCTGAAGAACATTAAGAAAGAAAAATTGAGAAGAGGCAGGAAAAAACCCAACCCATGTCAAACGAAGATGTGAAAAGAGCACGACCAACCAAGTTCTTATTGCTTAGTAAGCTTTCTCAATGTTTTTTGGTCTAAAGATTGAGTCCAATTGATTCCAAAATGAAAGAAAACGTCTTATTAGAAAAGATACTTCGCTAGAAATTAAACTACAAGAACAAAAGTGTTATGAGAAAAAAAAATCTACCAAATAATGTAAGAAGTATGCACTAAGAAGAAAGACAGCGAGCAAGAAAAAACAAATTTACCTAATAGGCTATAAAGGAAAGATGAAACCACCATAACTCCAAGGATGCTAGAATTCTCACACTTCGCTGCACCATTTTCCCAGTGTCACAATTGTAAGCAACACATTTGGTTGCAATTTAACCGTGAATGTTAGTAATAGAATTTCCTGCATGTAAAACAAAATAAATACAAAAAATGTGATGCATGAACAGAGTGCAGAGCCATCCTCCATTAACAATTACTAATCAATTCAGGTGTAAATTGTATTGCTGTTTGTATAGTAAAGGCTAACTAGAGATTGAAATATTTCCAATAAATAAGATTGCATTTCAAAAGCTGCAAAGATATTGTGGAGTACTGGCACCTGATGAAAAGTTAAATGAATGGGAATTGGTGCGTGTGTAATTCCGATTGAGGTATATCAACCTTTACATTTTCAATGTGATTAATCTTTCCCCAATCTTCGCCTTTTGGTTTCTGGCAACGCTGGTTGAGCATCCCACAATTGCCCAAAATTTCAAGAGTTGAAATGGATTTAGGCAGACCCTCTTTTGGCAAGCAGTTTAGGAAGTGGCAATCACGAAGAATCAATTTCTTGAGAGAGGACAGGTGGCAGAGACCCTTGTAGTCTAATTGTTTAAGATATGGACAACCATAGATGTATAGAGAAGTAAGAGAGGACAGGTGGCAGAGACCCTTGTTGTCTAATTGTTTAAGATATGGACAACCATAGATGTATAAAGAAGTAAGAGAGAGTGGCAGAAAAACATCACCAGGGAAAAACTTCACATCCACTCTTTCAATAAACAAGACTTCTAGAGAGGTGTTGTGTCTCAAAGCCCCTTTCAGTGAGGCAATAAGTTTGGAGCAATTTGACAGATCCATCCTTTTTAGATTTGATGGCAAACCTCCATCAGGTAACAACTCAACATTTGGACAATCTTCTATGCCTAGCTCATCAAGAGATTGAAGGAGCACCTGCATGCGTTGAGGCAATAGTTTCAAATTCTCCAATCTTTGAATACTAAGTCTCTTTAGGGAGGGTGCAGACAATCCTTCACTGGGAAATAGTGCTTCAGTGGCAACTGATGCAAACGGATTTTCCAAATTCAATTCAGAAGAATGGTGCCCACAAATTTGAAGATCCCTGAGATGATTATGACAGCGCGTTTGTGAGATTTTTTGTAGATAACGACACTTGAGATAAAGCTTACAGAGTTTTGGGAAGTTATCTAGCTGAAAGGTCCTTAGAGAGTCACTACCATCTTTGATTTCCAATGTTTCAAGCAAATGGTAGCAACGACCCATGGAAATATTCATATCCGGACAATTAAAAATGCTCAAGTATTCAAGAGAAGATTCAGGTATCATTTGCTCAATGCTAACAAGCAATGATTCTTCCATGTCTTGTCCAACAATGGTGAGCCTTTTCAAAGTGGCGGGATGATAATCAAATTTCAGCTTTCCGCAGTTTTCTAGTTCTAAGTCATGAATTTTTGGAGCTTTGGGAGCCGAAGCCACAAGTTTTCTACAGCAAGAAATATTTAGTGTCTTCAAACTAAGAAGCTGCTTTGGTAGCTCCCCTTTCAACTTGGGACATTCTTTTATAGAAAGATGTTGAAGGCGTGGAAAAGCACCTGCTGTAGCATTAAGTTCCCATGTTTCCCATTCCATCATATCGGAGAACTTCAGCGATTCCAAGGATGTAAATGACGAAGAGCTACTTCCATAAAATGCAGCATCAATAACCATTATCTTATCAAGTCCAATAATTGTTAGGTCTTTGAGAGATGGCAAAAGTCCAAGGGGAGGAATACATGTGCATTTTTTACAGTTGACCAAGCTTAAGGACACCACTCTCGATAAAATGATTAACCAACTTGGAAATCCTGTTCCACCATAGTTGCTGATTGACAACTTCTCCAAGTGTTTGGAAGGTTGTAGATTCTCCAGCACTTCATTTTCTTTCCTTGAATCATTCAGCTTCCAATCTTGATTCCAATCTAATGCTAGCTCCACAAGGTGTGGTTTGTTTTTCAAATATGCTGCTAATGCATAAGAGGGATCTTCAATATTTTGCAGCTGCCCAATTGATAGCCTTCCATGAAGATTGAGTTCTCCTAGTTGCTGAATACCGCACTTGCTACTTTTGCCAACATAAAATGAACTCAACACTAGAAGATTCTTCAAGTTTTCAAAATGCACCGGCAAGCCTCTCACATTAGTATCTATAAATTCCAGGTGACGCAAATTGATGAGTTTATTCAAATTCTTGGGCAACTCCTCCAAACGGGGACAAGAGTTCAGCTTCAGTATTTGCAAGTTATAAAGGGAACATATTGAATCTGGTAATATTTTTATGTTGGTACCGGAAAGGTCTAAGGAACGAAGATGTTTAAAATTTTTTATAGAGTCAGGCACCTTTTTAAGGTTACAATAGTAAGACAAAGATAAGTGGCGTAAAAATTTAAACTTGGACGACAACTCACATATTATTGACCCCTTGTAACTCCAAGAGCAAGAATTGAGTCCTGTCACTGTTGGCATAAATGTACGTAACCTTTTAGCATCATTTAAACTCTCAAACCCATCGAAGTTTGAATTGTGATTGATTGGAAATGAAAAATGACGGGTTGTTTTTGGTATTCTTCCTGCTTTATCAACTCCTAACCTGAAACAAAAGTCTCCACAAACATATTTTGCCAAATCATTGAGAAGGTCATGCATGATAAAACCTGTTTCATGTTTGCTTGATTTTTCAAAGAAGCATCTTGCTAATAGGTCATCAAAGTATTGTTTGCCAATTTCTTCTGGAGTCTTGCTCTGTTGAGGGCATTGTAGAAAATTTTCAGTCATCCACAATTGAATTAGATTCTTCTGGACAAACACATAATCTTTCGGGAATAAAGCACAATAAGCAAAACATCTCTTGAGATGAGATGGAAGGTTATGATAGCTTAATGATAAAGCAGGTATAATTTCACCATCTTCTTTGGGTAAGTCCCATATCTTGCTTGTCAGCACTCTTTCCTTTCAATTTTCCAAACCCTTGGCGCCAAACTAGCAGGTTAGGGTTAGGGTTAGGGTTCCAATGGGAAGCAAAGACAGCGACCACCACTTGTCCACCGTCCGA